GAGCAGATCTGGGCTTACCACAGTATGTATGTATGTATGTATTGTTAAACTTGTATGCCGCCCATCAGAAATGAGTATGATTCAAACCATGGGATACTTTTAAATAAAATAAAATAAATACTGTATTATATCTTTCTCATTTATCCCACATAGTACGCTATAATAGTTCCTATTTTTACAGATACAAATATTACAAAGAGAGCACTAATTTGTCCATGGCCATCCAATTATATTGTGGCCAAGTCCGAACCACATCCAAGTTAAATTTTCTATCAACTGAACAGCTACAAATCTCATATCCAATCCTGAAAATCCCTTTACACAGAAGAAAATCCCACTGATACCTGTCCAATTTACTTGTACAAAAATACACTTAGGATTGCAGTCAAGGAGCCCAATACTAAGAAATCAAAATAGCAGTTACAGCTGAACAAATGTTTAAAAGGGTAAAGACTCTCAAATCAAGTTCAACTCCTGGTGACTTCACAGATGCATACTTTTTTTGGGCAGCAACATGGTACTGGTTTGCTACTGCCTTCTTCTGGGATGTTTCTTTTCCTCCCCGCTCTAGCTTGAGCCCTGGGCTTTGCTGTTGTCTTTTATCTAAGCACTATCTAGCAAAGGCATCCACAGAAGACAGCAATTTCATCAAAATGACAAAATGAATGTCACAATGGCTCAATACAAGCTCCACCCCTTACGCACACGCATGCAACATTATGACGCCCACACAGAAAAGGGCAGAGTTCGTGTTGTGATGGTACAACATGAATGTCTCTGCTAATCAGGTCTGACCATGTTCAACTTTTCTGAGAGCAGCAAGGTTAGCTAGGTGCTGCCATCTGCTGAGGATGAGCTATGGTTAGTTAGTCTGGCTAAATCTGTGCTGATCTCCTTATCCAATCCAGAAGAGGGGACCCTTCTGGTGATTCTACAGGATTTAATGTGTTGGAAATTGTTTAGAATTACCCTCAACCTAGCCTGACCCCTTTGGTATTATATCTCTCTATTCTGCTGGCAGATCTTGGTGTCAGACAAGAAAAATTTTCATGTGGCAGAAATGATTTGCAAGTCTTCCTATTTCCATCTAGTGCCATTTTTAGTATGATCCTTTAGACTGGGGTTTTCCAAACTGTGTTCTAAGACTATGAGCAAAGAAAAAGAAAAGGAAAAGGAAAAAAGAGTTAACTCAAAAACAACCAATTTTCTCTCACAGCTTTGGCTCTTGATCAGGATTTCCAGGAATTTGTTTTTAACCAACAGGTTCTGCAGCCTAAAAAAGTCTAAAAAATCCCTGCTTTCGTGTATAATTCTGACTACACAAAATTCTCTAGTTCTCAGGTAGTATGGGAGATGAAAGTGATTACATGTTGTAAGTCCCTAGAAAATCCAAAAGATTTCTAAAAAGTATGATTTTCTCTTCCAAAGGCAAATATCTCTAAACCTCGGACATGGATATGAAGTCATACCAAAAATAAGCAACTCTAGTTGAACAAGTGAAGTCAAGATGCTGTTGCAGTGTCTGGAAGCTGTTAGGGTCTGGATGAGGAAGAACAAGTTTAGGCCCAATCCTAGCATGATGGAGTGGGTCTAGGTTTGGAAGCCATCCAATTCCAGGAATATTCCAGTTTTAGTTCTGGATGAGGTCATGCTCCCCCATACCAAACTGGTTCATAATGTGTGGGCCCTTCTTGACTCATACCTCCTGCTCAGTACAGATGTGACCAGAAGGGCCTTTGCAAACTCCACATTGTGTGCCAGTTATGATCCTACTCACAAACAGGCATCTGGTACTGCCTAATTCTAATCTGGTACTGTTGTCTAATAAGTTCAGGAAGAATTGGCTCTCTTTGGAACCTTTGACTCAAAGAATGGCAGCAGGAACCAACTGCTGCCTCCATTAGATATGAAGTAGATATAAGATTGTTATACTTTTTACTGTTTTTTAGCGTTTTAAACTTATTAATGGATGTATGATATACAGGTAGTCATACCATTCATTTAGTGACTGAAGTTATGATGGTGCTAAAAAAGTGACCTATGACCTGTACCCGAAGTTATGACTACTGCAGCGCCTGTGCAGTCATGCGATTGTGATCCAGGCACTTGGCAACCAGCTCACGTTTACGATGGTTGCAGCGTCCCAGGGTCATGTGATGGCCATTTGAGACCTTCCCAGCCATCTTCCGGCCAGCAAAATCAATGGGGAACTGCATGATTCACTTAACAGCCATGTGATTTGCTTAATGACCACTGCAAAAAAGGTCATAAAATCAGCTCTGGTCATGTGATGATTCGCTTAATGGCTGCATCGCTTAGCAACCTAAATTCTGGTCCCATTGCTTAGCGACCTAAATTCTGGTCATAATTGTGGTCATTAAGTGAGAACCACCTATATGCTCAAAGTTGGCAATGAATGGAACAACATACAAGCTCTGCAAAATAAACAGTTTTACTGGCACTTATGTGATAGGTGATTTGAAAAAGCTACAGTGATAGAAGGAATCTTAGCCACACTAATGTGAACTGGCCTATCATTATTGTATGTTCCAGGACTCCTTGATAGCAATTATCTTACTAAAAAAATTAAAGTACTATGTCATAGTACATGGTAGGAGCTACACAATGTTGGCTGATCTTGAAAAAGCTGAGGAGGACCAGATTTTGATTGGAATCCAAAAGGAAATCCCTAAAGACAAGACTAGGAAATCAAAAGAACATTCTGGAAAAAAACAGTGGCAAACCTCTTCCTTATTGTAACCAAGAAAATAACATGTGCATGTATATGCACCAGGAGTTGAGCTCAACTTGAAGAAGACTTTACTTACCTTACATATTATCTCTTTCCTCCAACAGGTAACAAAAAACCCACAGTTATTTTATAACCATCTGGATAATGCAATGCTTCTATAATGTGCTTGTGAGTAAGAAGCAATGAGTGGAAAGTGGCAGAATAGATCGGAGCCTGGCAAGGGCAAAGGTGTGGCAGCAATGAAGTGGAGGAGTTAGCAAATGGAAGAGACAGATGAAGCAAAAAGAAGGCAGAAGTATTTACTGTACTCTGAAATATTTTATGCACTTTTCTGAGAGGAAGACACAGTTCATAAGTAAAGGCTCAAAATTGTTCAATATTGCCCTCTTTTGCTGGAATAAGAAATGCCATGAAATTTGCTTTGTTGCCATTATTGCCGCTAGTGTTTGGTCTTGGACCATAAATAAATTTTGAACTGAATATCGTTGCTAATGGTATAATAAAGTGATTTTGAATTCTTTTACAGAGGGGAATAAACCCCAGTTATATGGAAAATGTGTATCATTCTTTGGGGTGGAAGATAAAGAAAGGAAGGAGAATGGCATCAGAATGGTGACTTTTACCCTGAAATGATTTATGTCAGGAAGAAACAAGAATTTAAGACTAAAGCACTGCTAGGATAGGGAGCAGTAAAATAAATGAGTTTCTAATGACAGCAGAGAGAATGATTTAAATGCAAACATATATGGAGAAAAAGTAAGCTGAGAGAGTGAACCGAGAGAAAACTGATGGGAATGGGAGCAAAGTAAGTCACAAAAAAGGCTTCTGCTCTGGAGGTGCATGGTAAAAGAGAAAAAGGTCTGTCTTAAGAAGCAAGCAGAAAAAAAAATACATTAGTGCAAAAGCCAAAAGCACCTGGTCTAATTTCTTGATATGAGTGCAATGAAACCTCTCCTTAGCTTCTTTTTAATCAAGAGGAGAGACCCAGAGAAACGAGAGGGAGAAACTCCTCTCTTGAATAGGGAGTAAGACAGTCCTTGACTGAACATACCTTAAAACCTAGATACTCCTTGTATTCTTCCACTCAAGCCTTAGTAATTAAAATACACAAACATTTTTTACTTGAGGTTGCATCACTAGGTTTAGGGTACTGATTTAAAGTGCCAGCCAGAAACAAAAAAAGGAAAAAAAATGTCATCCCCTTCTTTCTGCCTTAAATGAAGATGAAACAAGGTGAACATTCCATTAGCATTTCTAGCTAGAGCACTGAAGGCCTTTTTTCAACTTTTCAATATGGGAGTAAGATGGAATTTTTGGCAATTATTGTCTTAACTCTAAGGCCATACTGATGTGATCACTGTAATCACTTCTTCGGGATATGATAAACTTAAATTCTGGCAAACAGATTGTTTTAAAAATTCTTCTGAAGGCAAATTTTACTTTCCCTTTCCTTATTTAGATCTGTCATAACGTTAGAGTTTGAAAGCATGAGAATTTATGAACATTTAACAGGCTAACAACAACAAAAAACAGGATTAGACATTTCCTTCCACAAAGCTTAAACTGAAATGCTAAAATCAGCCTAAAATCTGTGGCTTTTGCTCTAGGATGAGACCAACAATTCTGCAATTGTGAACAGAGAGAAGCTCTGAGAAGATTATATCCTCAGTAGTTGTTTCTATACCCTTTCCAAATATGGAACAATCTCTCTTTTCTCTAAACAAAAGAAAAGGTTAATACTTTACAGTATATTTGCAACTAATATGAATCTGGACACATAGATAGTTGAGCATACTAGAGAATAGCTTAAAGGTGTACCACTTGTCTACGATGGTTCTTTTTGGAATTTGAAACAAACCTAGCAATTTTCCACCTCGTTTTAGGAATATCTTCATTTCAATAAGCTTTCTTTGAGTATTTGTAGATAGATTAAAAAGGCATCATAATGCTGCTCAAGTTATGACTCCTTATGGAAGCAAAAGGAGATGGGATACACAGCTGTATGGTTTTATTAACTGTGCCAAACCACACTGTAAGCAGCCCTTTTCTAAATCTGTTGAAAGGCTGCATTGCAAGCAGCAGAACTAATCTGACAGAGCAAATGATTCAGGAAATTTTGGAATTCAGCTTCCCAGACTGCAGAATCTAGACTCTGGAGTGTTTTGTTTGCAGTCAACTAGCTTCTTGGCTTACTTGCATATTATCTAAACCTCTGTTCAATCCTTGAACAAACCAGAAGGCATCTTACCGAAGAAGCAACTCTTTGGGAAGCTTTTTGTTGATCACAGCCTCATCATTGTTTGAGAACATCTGCAAAATAAAAGCAAAACACACATTAAGTCTTCTGCATTTTCATTATAGATTATATCCTTACTAACACAAATCAATATGGCAGCTTTGCACAAAGAAGTTATTTTTAAGGCAAATTGGACTGACAGCATTTAGAGATTATGTTTTGTACATTTAGTTTGAAAGTAATCTGGAAATATACCGCAACCAACACTGAACTGTTGGGACTACAGTATGTATAAGTTTCAATTTGTTACTATTAATTAGATAATATTTATTTTTTAATCTCTGTAATAGCACTGGGATCAAGAAGACTACACCCCCAAAATCTCAGGGTTGTTGTTACTGTTGCCAGAGCGTATGGATCTGTGCATGTTAGACACAGGTTGTAGATCTGAGTCTAAGTAACATTTCTTTTCTATTATATTAACTGAATAGGTTCTGTTTTCCTTAAAGATAAAACCATCCTCTTTGGGCAGGCTGATTCATGATCCTGAAGCATTGGTACATTCCCAGAAACTGGAGTTCAAACATCTGTTTAAATCATCTTGAAAATATTGGGGCATTTGATATATTAATTCTAACACTGTATTGCAAACTGATCTCTTCAGGAGTTTCAGCATATATCTTGCCTTGCCAAATTATGTCCCAAAAGTTTGTCTGACTGCACATGATTCAGCAAACATGTTCAATCTAAGTAGAGATGAGTCTGGCTAGTGCCTGGAATCTCCATACAACTTCTCAAAAGCTCTATGTCAGCAGGTAAGTGAGATTTCCAGTGGATATGCGGTAGAACTGTATGTCCCTTTTGGTAGCTTGCATGATAGAAAACAAATTTAAAATGTCCACAATAAGTCTAAAAATAGAAACAAACTTCTGGACAATAAAGTAACAAGAAATCAAAAACAGATCACAACAAAGTAAAACAAAACATGAATCAAGCAGGTTAAAATGCTCTCAAGAACAGCTCTGTCTTCAAGATCTTCCTAAATACACTCAGGGATGGTACCAGCATGATCTCCATGGGGAGACTGTTCCAGAGGACTGTCATTGTCACTAAATCTTTGTCTTTTCTAAACATTAAGAAAACCAAAATAAGTATCAGGGCATTTAAGCAAATCCATGTATAATTTGTAACAAAACTTGAGAACTTGTTTATTATTTTTAAAGCATACACATTATCCCACCCATGATAAAGGTCAGCATGGCCAATACTGATGTTTTATTTTTCCAAGGCAAAAGTCCAAGTAAACTGGAAATTTGGAGGTCCTAGAGAGGGAGTGGCTGGGCTACACAGTCAGACTATAGCAGATATGATATATAAACTCTACTAAGGTAAACAGAGGCTAATGTAACATTTTCAACGTATTAGCTTTTCTGTATTAAGTATATATCTTTTATTTCAGTGAGGGACAATCAGTTATAGACACCTTAACTGCAAAGTGAAGATTACATCTAACCATCGCATTACTTCTTTAGTGATAGTTATTTGTTAAGCTATTACATATGCCAAAAGAAAGCAATGACAAACAACCTCCACATTGTTGCCAAGGAAACTACATGGACATGTTCATGAAGTCACCAGGAAATGTGCTCAACCACTACAGGGGAGATTGAGGAGTCTGACTATTGTGTATGTGTGTTTTTTAAATTTGTACAGCTAGAAATGTTCTTTTATAAATAATTAATAAAACACCAAACTGAATCAACTAGTTTTTTACACAATCATAATGGTTATACTTATTGTCTTCATCAGACTTAAGGATACAAAGGATGGTATCCTTAACCTTTAGATCACAGCATGGTGCTCTCTGTGACACTGCCTTTGAAAAGCATTTGGAAACTTCAGCTGGGCCAGAACGCTACAACGAACTTCTGACTGGGACCAATTTTACTGCAGCATGTGATTTCTATCTTATGCCTGTCTCTCTAGCTACCAGTCATTTCCAAATTCTAATTATATTCCATTAATGAACAAAACAAGATTCAGTGTGAAAAATTAGATGTAAACATATACAGACTGACAGAATATGAGAACCAAAATTACCTAATAATGGCCCTTATACAATTATCAATAGTAAAGCAGATTAGCTAACAATATATTCATGCTGTTAGCTATATATGAAAGTGTATTAAAATGTTATTAAAAATTATACTACATCTGAACTTAATAGGTCTTCCTCAGTATTATACTGAACAATGGAGAGTCTTTGACCCACCTATTTGGGTTACACAGAATACTAAATAATGTAACTGATGTTCAGTGGAATAAATTACTAGGTATAATTCTTTAGCTCTCATACAGTGGAACCTTGGTTACGAACTTAATCCGTTCTGTGACTCTGGTCGCACCGCGAATTGGTCGCAACCCGAAGGAAATTTCC